CCGCGACTCAGGGGGCAGATTTGGGAATGCCAACTTCGCCAATCTATGAATCTCAGTGGAATGACGAAAAACGTCTTTCTTATACCTCATCTTACACAGTGTATTGAACGCATGCTTAGGCGTTTCACTGTACTGCTTTGTCAACTCGACAATAAAACCTTCATACGTTCTTTCCGGTGATTCATTGGGATCGTGAGTCAATCTCCGGCTATAAACCTCCCATGGCTTATCCGTGAGACATAATCCCATGAACTCTAATAGATCACGATATGGCAAGCGTAACAGCCTCGCTCTGCCTTCAAATTTGGACCTCCATTCCTCGAACGTTTGTTTCTTCGGGTCGTAAGGCACTATAGCCTTAGTGATAGCTATCGCCCTACTCATTTCCGATGGATTATTATTAGGTGAATTTCTCATTCTCGCCATCTCATTCTGCAACTCTTCCAATTGAGCCTGCATTCTTCCATCTAAATTGTTTGGGTTTTGGTCGTACTCGACCTCACCACTATCAATCTCCCTCGGAGGTGCATCAAATTGTATATCGCCATCAGCATCCACCTCTTGGCTATTCTCTTGATGTACAGTTTCTTCGTTAACCATAGTCTGGGCACCAGGTGTTGTGCACTAGGGGAAACCCAACAAAGAAGGAATAAGGGAATTGCTAATATTAATGAGGAACGACGGTTTACAGCCAATTGTGTGAGCTAAGGAAAAAGGAGACAGTGAAATGGGGACAGAATTGTGCTTGCGCAGAAGGTTCCTCACAAATCTACGTGAGGGATAAATCTGGCTACGCAATCAATCCGATTGTCTGGAATTCTGACAGACTACATAAGGGAATCGATATGGTGGGAGTGAGTATTTTCATCACCAGAAAGCGGGTTATGCAGATAGTTGGAATGTATGTCCCACCAACTCTGGCTGGAGAACAATGGGAGGAGTGTATTCTGGATCGGAACATCCTGCCCATTGTTTGAGGTGTTACTAACAGGCCCTTGCAAGAGTTTTATATGAAGTATCACGCCACTTCATGTGACGACGTCACGGTGACGTGAAACGGGTCGTGAAACTCCATTGTCACACGTGCCTCGTCCCCCGGTCTGCTGCCATAAAGTCACCGTTGTGCCTGATGCCAAGTAACTGGACTGTCTAGTTCCTGCCATTCTGCTTTGTGGAGAAGGCTAGGGCTCGAATGGTAGAATGGCTGTAGATACTTTAATACTCATCGTGGTCACGGCGACCTCCGAGCCCCTGATTCATTCCGAGTGCAGTATAACAGACTCCTCAGCAAGAGGCCTATATTCTATCCTTGTCTTCATAGAAATGTTCATATGATGGCAGATGAGACCGTGGTGGAGGACTAACAGCTCGTCCTGAGCTCGGATGCACTTGATGAGTGGCGTTAAGAAACTGAGAAAATGACTCTAAATGGATCTCCAATTCTCCACGCAGATGAGCGATGATATCCTTGGGGACTGCACAGCTTCCAAAAACGGTATTATGGCTGAACCTTAGATAGATTGTAGTTCACTGGGAAGGTTCCTGTCTAATAAGTCTCTCAATTTATTGATTCACTCTTCGAGTTCGACTTCACACCCATTTCTTAACGAGTCTGTCCGGAAGTGTTGTTACCTCTTACTACGCTCCGATTCAATATCATGCCATGAAACTGGACCGTTGATCTTGAAGATTAACGGCAACGTGGCCGCACTGCCAGGTCCAAGTCTTGCCATGACTAAGCTGATGACGTCCTCGCCATGCCAACCTTCGAGGGGATTTTCTCTCTGCGTTGTCGAGGGGTGTTCACCATGGGTTGATGTCATCTGATCGGCTTCTATTCTAGAGGTTGTCGAGCTAGAGGGATCCTTCTGATGAAAAAACGCGGAACGGGCTATCAGGCGAACAGCTGTATGGCTTCTCACGAGCACTGTGCATGCTAGCAGCAGACGTTGTGGTCATCGGCCCAAGCTGCTTTCTTAGCTGGTAATTTGTGTGTTAGGCAGGCAAATAAGTGGTTCGCCAGGTGTGTTCGACTGTTATGGTTGAACTGTGTCCCCCCTGCTCAGCTTTGTGGATAGTGCTCTCATTTTACTTCTATCATAGACGTTCTATCCACATTGCAGGGAGAGAGAGCGGTCACCAACTGATTCGCAATTGCTTCAAGATCAATTTATTGGGCTAGGTCAACAAGCGAGCGAATCACTCGCTGCGAATGGGTTGTGTTGTGGTTAGGGGTTTTGGATGGATAAGCATTCAGTTATCATTTAGTTAATGGGAACCTTCCTGAACCCGCCCACCCGCATCCAGTTGAAACAGCAAATTCGATGGTGCTAATGATTTCTTCTCCTCATCGTCGATAAAACTGAACGCAACAAAATCTCAGATTTTGTTGCGTTCAGTTTTAAATCTGCTCTGGTTGTTTTTTCGACGAACTTCAACGCTCGAGAGAAGACCATATAGCTATGTATTGCGGGTGAAGAGGTTCCGAGGAGCTCGAATCAGCGCATGCTGGGATTGTACGTAGATGGGGGACTAATATATGCTAAAAGCTGTGACATGTGGAGAAGTAGAGTGTTTGCTCGTATCCGTATACTTAATCATGTGAGTAACAGATCCTGGGGTACCAGTTTTAGAAGCCCTCGGCAAGTGGCTGATCAGCTTATCATGTCCAGTGCACTCTATGCCATTCCCGGGCTTTATGGTGCACAGCTTACTCCAGCAAAGACATCAATTTTGAGTGGAACGGCGAAGAAGAAGAGAAAAAAATTACTTGGATGGAGAGAATTATCTGCTGAGTTCTCACCGCAAGCTCTCTATCCTCTTATATCTCCCTTACCACACAGGCTTGCACCTTGGCTTTCCCTCCCGATCATTTTTAGCACTTCGTCTTGTAAATTACTAGTTGCTGGTGGTGCCGCACCACTGGTGCGATTTGGTTTGGAGATGAAGCAGAAAGAACCGCGTTGGTCGGCGTCTGTTCCAGCGGGTATGGTTGCTTCATCTTATACTGGCAGTATAATACTGCTGAGATACGTGGATTAGCATGTTGTATGGAGTCTTTTGAAGGGTTCATCTCTTCACACATAGTTGAGCCTGACCATACGGTTTTAATTGTATGTGATTCATTATCCTTATTCTGTGCTCTGAAAGGTGATCCCTGTAGTATGTCCGTCGATCTCATTCCTACATGGGGATCCCTATATAGACTATCTTTGTATGTTACTTCCTGTGAACTTCTGTGGATAAGTTCACATTGTGATATATCTCGGAATGATTTTGTTGACTCTCTAGCTCAAGAGGGGACTAAGATGGGTCAATCGCTGTGCTCACTACCCGTATCAGCGGTTAAATTCTATATTAATAGAGATAGGGTACGAACTCCGATTCTGCACTTGCCAGAACTTCTGGCCCTGAAGACATATCGGTGGCTCGAGCACTGCTCGAGCTCAATAAACCCGTATCATTGAGATATATTCAGTCTACTTGCAACCAGATTTATGCAGGCAAGTGGTCTGAGTGCTTTGATTACTTGTTCAAAATAGGTAGAGTCGAGTTCCCTTTATGTCCCACGTGTAAGCGATTGAATGTAGACGTAGTTGATGATATTGAGAATAGGTTGTTCAAATGCCCTAGATTGGAGGAGATCAGATTACGCTTTTTTGGTGCTTCTCCATCTGAGGGAGAAACATGCTAGTTTGTCGGTTTAAATACCCTTAATGTTGCGTGGTTTGTAGTTTTGACAGAATGTACTTGATCTTTGTATCTATTATCTTTCCCTCGCCTGTTCTGTAGAATGGGCTTGGACCGTACAAAAAAATAGACAGGAGAGCGCACCAACGGATCACTCAGCCATAGTTCAACTATGTTACGAGAAGGCCAAATCCAACTTAAAATCTCCTGACGGAGCTGTCATAAAATGACCAACGATGATTGGAGAACATTTGGCGACCGTGGGTTGCAAAGAAGACCGCAAAAATAATGGAACTCGTTTACTAGTAGGGTCGAACTCAAAATAACTACTAATCAACATACGATCGGGGAAACCCCAGTCATCCTTTCGGCTTTCGGTGATAATGAGTAGACAGATACCATTGTGATTCACGGCATAGTTCGTGAATGTCATTGTGAATAGGGTTGAGCCCTGAGGCCCTCAGGCTGAGGGCCCAAGGCAAACGTCAACAGTGGCAACTGGCTCATGTATTGGCAAGGGAGGGACCATGTCTTCTATTCTGAGTTGAACTTGAAATTGACATGCTTACCCGCAGTTTTGAGCAGTCTAGCACTCCGTGGCATTTTATGAAGGATGGTGAGGCAGAGTGTGATGATAGGCGATAGAGAATTCGTACAGTAACGCAACGATCGATCGCTCCGACCCGTAGTTGATCATGCGCCGTCAAAGCCATATTGGGGTGTAGTATCTTAGCCTCCCTAACCCAAGTCTTACGTCTAGTTGATTCACTGCCCTTGTCGGTACTCTTCAACTAGACTCCTCATTCAAAGCTATCGACGATGGACTCACATGCAACTCAACTCCGCTTTCTCTGTAACGGCCCGTATCCATATCCTGGTCATACGGACAAAATAGACCGAAGACTAAGAAAATAAGAAAAAAAATAAAAATACGGGCAACGAGCTCCCAAAGCATGAACTGCGCGATATGCTTCACAGATCAGACTCAAACATCGGACGCGTCGCGGACCTTTGTTGTAATTTGATTGCTGATGATGAATCATCCTGGATGACATGTATATGAGATGAAAAGATAGACCGGATTAACCAGGATTCATCGCCTGATAAGTGACAACTGAAGTAGAATCGTCACCTTTTAGGTAGTGATGTGTATCGACTACACATCTGCCTCAATGCGATAAACTTGGTGCTCCAAACCAGTTTTCCCCACTGCGAGTTTGATCATCCCGTGGTCACCCCATTCCTCATTCCAAGCATTCACTGCTAACCAATACTCTTGGCCAGACTCGACTCCCCAACCTATGAGTTTAAGAGTATGAGCCGCCAACATTTGACCCGTTTTGTGCACGTAGACACCAGACTTGTAAAATCGAAAATCTTCGTAGAGCGTCATCATCGCAGCAACCTGAATTAAAAAGACGATCTGACCATACTATTAAGCTGGTAATATCAGCCAAATAATCCGATAGAGATAAATATCTCGGAGATAAATTCACATTCTCAATCGCTTCTAAGTACCGGTCAATTGCAAAGCCAAGTTCGGTTTTTTAATAACACATGTAATAGAGATTTCATCAAACTCAATCTAGTTGTCAACTAGATTGTACTGATCAATGATCAAATGATTCATAGGGATGCGGTCCCCGCAGCTGTGTTGAAGCCCACCCCCCGCATTGCGGGGGGTGCGCATTCAGTATCGAAATGAAGTGGACCCTATACTAGGGGGCACATAGCTTCGATAGCTTACGGGTCCATTATCGAATATTTCTTGCTTGATCTTCTCAGGGCCTATCGGTAGACGTCCCCAGCTTTTAGCACGGTGAGTATCTCTAACATAGAGTAGACATGATTCATATGTACATTATATGATGCTTCATATTATATGAAGTATCCACCAGATGGAGTCTATCTGATGTCCTCTTACTTCTGCATGCTGGTCCCGTAGGCTTTATTGGGGCAAGTAGTTGCACATGCAGGAAGGTCCCGGACCTACGACGGTGAAGTCCACCAACATGTGATGGCGCCGCGAGACGCCCTATACTAAAAATACCTGCGCGCATCGGGGATATTTGCTTTCCAGCCCGGGCACATGATTGCACTTCGGGAATGGATAAGGCCAGCAGCCATCATCGTTGCCCAGTTCCTCGGGCGGTTTGTATTCACCACCTAAACCAACTGTGAATGATGCGTATCCAGAGGAGACTCGGTGCCATTCTCAATCTCACTCAACTTGAATGACTCGAATCGGAAATTCCTACCAGTAACAAGGCCGTGATTTT